GGGCATTCGCAGGACGTTGTCAAACTCCCATCTCGTCCGGGAGGATGCCGCTCTCTCCTTCGCGCACATGCGACTCTATAGACGCCCTGGGGGCACTCACCAGAGTCCAGGTCCGTGGCCGAGACGGTGACAACGGAAGCTCCCGCCGTCACGTTCTCCCAGACTTCATCGGAATAGCTCATGGGGTCGAAGAGCGGAGCATTGTCGTTTACGTCCACGACGTTGATGAAGACGGTGAGCGTGGAGGACAGCGAAGGCCGGCCTGCGTCCGAGGCCTGCACCACGAAGATGTAGTGCTGCACCTGAAACAGTAAGACGACGTGTATGAGAATCACTGGGTGGCAAAATGGAGGGAGCTCTGTGGGTGGGACCAAATGAGTCTCAAATCCTGCACGGAACTACCGAATCGTTTCATGCATACCTCACACCGATTCTAAAGTCCCCTCCGTGTCTTTTCCCCCAGGAAAATTGAAATGCTCTCACTTTTGCGGTATTTGTATTCCGCGGGCGAGGCGAGGCCCCAGTTTTCAGGCCTGGCTCCGCTCACGTCAGTCGCATACAGCACGCGTACGCACCGATTTCGTATGGAAGCTATCAATTAGTGCTGCATAAGGCCTCCCGCTCTCCCGCATGGACCCACGGCACACCACCTCTACCACTCGCGCTCCCGTCGGTGCCATGCCGCGCGGACAAATAATTTATGTGCGCTGTTTTGTCACGCAAAAGTGTTATTTATATTTGCTCGCTCGCCATGAGTTATGGCGCGGACTGGACTGGCGTCGTGCGGCGCCGAGTGGCTGGTCTTGTGTATGTAGGCCATAGCCGCAGCGGAGCCCACCTCCGTCGGCTACTGGGTATGCACCGCGGCGCGCCGCATGCGTCCGTCGCGTGTCCGAGGGCGCTTCACTCAGGGCCGCGTCGCCGTGGCGCCCCGCAGCAACCCCGAGCGTCGAGCGTGCGCACGCGCACCCTTCGCCGGCCCAATTAAATAAATAAAATAAATACGACAAAAATTGAAATGAATAAACAATTTTGACGCCGCCGCCGGTCGGCTTGGCAGGTCGAACGGCGCCATCCGGGACGGAACGAGCCTGGCCGCGAGCTCGCGCCGCGCGCGCCTGGAACATTGTAAGGCCCGGCGCCAGGCGCGGCGCGGCGCGCTCCGCTGCATTTTCACTTTGACGCCTCTGATAAGATCGCCGCGCATTGCGAGCGGGCTCAGCCAATCAGCCGCGCAAGGCTGCCTGCCTGCCTGCCTGCCTGCCTGCCTGCCTGCCAGTCTGCCTGGCTCGTCGACACGGTTTCCGCCACGATCGCCCGCGGGGTGCTATGCGAGCGCGCGCGCGCGCGCACCCTCCCCGCGCTGCCCCGAGAAGACATCCGTCTGGACCCGGCGCTATTCTCCACCATGGCCTACTTTACGCCCCTCTTTGGCGCGTCCTCGGAGGGCGTGCGGGCGTGGCGGGGCGTGGCGGGGCGTGGCGGGGCGTGGCGCGGCGAGCACAACGCCCCACCCGCTGCGCCGCCGCTGCGCGCCCCGGGGCGACGCCGGCCCCAGAGGGCCCCGATAGACACACGAGGCAATAAGAGGGGCGCCCCCGTGCTGAAATGGGGGTCAGGCTGGCGCAAGCAGCGCAAGTAGGGGGCGGGTCGGGGCCCATTGACCCCCTCTGCAAGGGGCGGCGCAAGTAGGGAGTCCGCGCGCCCGCCGCGCCCGACTTTCTGCTGCATCGAATGTCATCTTTAACCTTTTCCGATACAGCCGACACAGCCCGACGACGACCCAGTTGTGACAAGGCATCATATCAGTCTCGTCCTCGCGCACGAGTGCCCCGGTGTGGTGGCGCCGGCGCGCGGCGGCCCCGCGGCGGAGACCCCGGGGAGCAGCAGCGGCGGCTGCCAAGCGTGTTGACGCGAGGTGGCGGGGCGCGGTGGGGCGCGGCGGGGCGTGGCGACGGGGGGGAGGAGGGTGTCGGACAAGCTGTCCGGGCGGGGCGGGGCGCCACACTGGCACGCCGCGCGTACGTCCCCGCTGCGAAATCAATCGCTAATTATGTGATGCTAGTAGTTTGTTATTTTTAGCTTTAGCGCGCCGCGCCGCATGCGCGGTGCATATTGCGATATTACGGGCCGCAAGGCCGGTGTGCCGTGCCTTGCCGCGGCGCCGGCGCGCAGAACTGCTGGACGGTACGGCGGCCGGCAGGCGTGCGTGGGCCGCGAGGCAGGCGACGGTAACCGCGGCGTTAAAACTGCGAAAAATGTCGCCGGACTCGACATTAGTTATTTCAATAATAAAAGAAACTCACTTAGGAACATTATTCCGGGACCAGTTTTCTGATAATTTTTACCAAATAATTTTGAAAATTTCATTATTCATGTGTGAGTCTATTTCTGAAATTTACACTTTTACAATAGGTACCACGGACAGTTTCACAGTAAAATAAAGCGCCGCTAGCCGTGTCTTTCAGAGTCGTGGAGTGAAATTAATTCCAGCCCAGTCGAGAGACGCGCGCGCATCTCGAAACACTATGCTGCGTTTTATGCCCCCGTGCGACCCTGCGGGGGTAGTGCGCAGGGTATACGTGCGCACTCTTTGCACGCGGTGAGTACGGCGTGGAGTGTGGCGAGGCGAGGTTGGCTGGGTTGACCAATACGGCCCGACCCGCAGAGGGGAGGGGCCCTTTCCCTTCGACTGAATGGGAACGAAAAACGTTCCGCAGATAAATTTTTCGTCCCGATGGCCGGACAGCCAATCACGGCCGCGACCGGCGCGGCGCGGGGCGTGGCGCGACGCTACTGCATCGCGAACCTTCCCCTCTCCCTCCCAGCCACGTCGTCGCCAGCTTCTTTTTTATGAGACGCAGTGAATGTAATCTAATTAAAACTACCGCCTTTGCCCATCAAACGGCGTGGCTTGGCGCGGCGGCCGGCGCGGCGCGGCTGCCGGGCGGAGGAGGGTGAGGCGAGAGGGGCCGGGGGCCTGGGGGGAGGGCTTGCGACTCGCATCTCACGGCGGCATCAGAGTTGCGCGCGCGGGGACTTGTTTTATATCTGTTTCCTCGTTGCACTTGACAAACAATTTCGAAGCCGGGGGATCTTGAAAAATTCTTCGCTTCGGCTTCCTTGCTAATGCGCGTGTACGCGCGAGCGGTAACGGTACTTGTGGGTGTGGACTTGAACCGCGGCGCGCGGCGGCTTCGTCCCCGCCCCGCCGTCGTCCCCGCGGTCGGGATTACAGGCGGCATCCCTGCGGACTGATGACAGTGTAGAGACGCGGCGAGGAGCAGGGATCCCGGAGGGATCAAGGGTGTTCACCTCGATTAGTAGTGGTTGCCCGGTGATGAATATGCACGGCGAGTCTAGTCGCCACGCCGCGCCACGCCACGCCACGCCCCGTGTACGGCGAGCTGCTGCAGCGTTTGCCCAACACGGGACGGGCGCGGATTCGAAGGGCTTCAACCAAAGAAAAGGACCTCCTCGTCAGCCGCGGGGCAGGAGGTGTGGAGATCAGGAGGTGGAGGAGAGCAGGAAGTGAAAAGTGTCCTCGGCAAACTCACCGCGCGGCCCATTCCGTCAGCCGCCCCTCACAACACGCCCCGACTCTCCGCCCCGCCGAGGACTCTCCCGCCGCGGCCGCGACAACGACCGCTTTTTTATTTACTTCGGATACGCCGTCCCACTCACTCACTCACTCCCACCACACCACACCCCCAGAGGAGCCCTCCTAGTAAAGTTTCCGTTATTCTAATCGAAGACCAAATTCCTTCCAGAAAGGGATTATATTAGTCTGCGGGTGCGTAAAATGTAACGGTCAGTTTTAGTGCGGGCGAGGTGGTGTGAGTGGGGAGGAGAGGGGGGGGGGGTCACCTCCTCTGTGTTCAGCCCTAGGTCCCCCTCCGGTCGCCTCCGGCCGCCCGTCTGCCCGGAGTAGTAAAACCAAGTGGAGCAGGGCGGGGCGGCGCGGCTCTCCTCACGGGGCCGGGCCTCAAGCGGCCACGGGCGGCCACAGGCCTGATAAGTCAGGCGACACAAAGAGAGGTACTTTTTACGACTAAATGGGAGTGGTGGAGCCCATGACTCCACTTCCACCCCCCTCCGCTCTCCCCGCTCTCTTTCTAGGCTTCCTCTCCTGTCTGGCTCGCGCGCCGTCAGACTGACAGCTGCTGTGGACGCTCCTAACTAGGTCCCCGACCCCTTGCCCTCCTCCCCGCAGGTGCCCCTTCTCCCCATGTGCGAAGACAGCCACCTGCACGCGGGGGGACGCGGCAGGGGCTAAGTATCACACCCACGTCGATTTTAAAACAACCCGCGCGCTCTTTGAGCCCTTTGCGCTTGGCAACGCTGCACCTCGGCCGGCTCGGCGTTCCATATTCACTATCAGGTCGTAAAAGGCGTAGCCGAGAGGAGAAAGGCGCGGAGGTGGAGGACGGCGGGGCGGGGCGGGGAGGACGGTACTCGTACTCGTACCCGTCCCTTGACCTATACCGTTTGTCCACGTCGCCAACGACGAGTCCAAGCCCAGAGGGCAGAGGCAGGGGCAGGGGCAGGGGCAGGGCCGAGCGACGATGACGGACAAGGAATTCCTGTGAGCATGCAAAAGTGTGCTGGGGCCTGGGTGCTGGACCCGGTGCTCGCTTACCTCCTCGTAGTCCAGGCGGGAGGCCAGGGTGAAGATGCCGGTCTGCGGGTGCAGGGCGAAGATGTCGTTGCCCCAGTCCGAGACGACGGAGTAGGACACCAGGCCGTTGGGGCCCTCGTCCTGGTCCTTGGCGGTCACCTGGCCCACCCTCGCGCCCCGCGCAGCGTCCTCGCGCACCTCCATGGAGTAGGCCCACTGCGAGAACACGGGTGGGTTGTCGTTGGTGTCCGTCACCTAGAATCAGAAAACGCACAGGGTTAGAGAAAGGTCCGCTATTTACAATGAAGCGACAAAAAATCCTCATTTGGTGCAAAACAAAAGGAAATATTTAAGGGGGTAGGGTGTCCTTTTAACGACCCTTCGATTAATTTCAGGGTGGTAAAGGACACCACGGTAATACTGTCCCCACTTTTCACAACCCGTGAAAATATTACCTAAGTCATCACTTTCCGTTTACAATAACCCTGGGTTCAAATGAAGTCATGAAAGAAGTACCCCCGCGCCCGCGGTCCCGATATCTTCCCGTTCCGTTCCGTCCTGTCCGGTCCGTCCGCCGGCGCAGCGCGGCTCACGGCAATCACGTGTTCACAAAAGGAAAGGAATGCCTGGTAATTGCGCTGCCCGTCCCGCTCCGACTAACTTCGCCCGCGCTCCCGGCCCAGGCGGCGGCCCGGACCAGCGTAGCGCACAGCGTAGAGCACAGCGTAGCGCGGCGCGAGCGGACTATATCCGCCCCACTGCGGCCTCGCGTGTGAAGTCATACCAATTGTGACGTGACATAGCACACCTCGCGACGTCTACCCTGAACAGCTTAAGCTTAATTTCGTGCCCATAGTTTGTGCTTCCCAAATACCCTATATTTTGGATTTTTTAATATTTTTTTGCACATAACGTAATGACGTGGACAATTACGTACTGCAATAAGCCACTTGCCTCAAATTGTTGTTGGACCTATAGGGATCCCCCTATTGGTCAAGGCGACGGCCGTGCGATCGCGCGATTGGTCACCGGCTTATTTTTTTTTTTATTTGAATCTTTTTGGTTTTACGACCGACACTTCGCGCTGGTGTGTATATAGCCCGGGCTCGGCATGCCGCGCCCGAAGTCGCGTATTTTTGGGTAAGCTTGACAAGCCATGGGTCCTGACGGTCCTGACGGTGCACGACACTCGTACACGACTCTCGGCGCCAGCCGCGCACCAGGGGGCGCTCCTCCCTCCCTCCCCCTCCCCTCACTTCCCCTCCTCGCCAAATCCGCGCTGCCTGGTCGGCCGGCTGCTTCGCGATGCGGCCGTCAGATAGCAGCTCGCCGGGCGAAACAACTCACCCTCCTCAAGTTCAGAACCTCCTCGATAAACTAACCTGGATGGTGACGAAGGCGTCCGTGGCCTGCACGCCGTCCGAGGCCCGGACCAGCAGTCGGTAGGCGTCCTGCACCTCGCGGTCCAGGGCGTCGCGCAGGCGGATCACGCCGGTCCGCGCGTCCAGGGTGAAGGGGGACGCCGCCGGGGCGCCGCTGGTGTTGGCGGCCTGCTCCACCAGGGCGTACGACAGCTCGCCGATCGTATCCGGGTCCGTGGCGGCCAGCGTGGCCACCGACTGGCCGACGGCGAGCTCCTCCGACACGAGGAAGCTGAGCGGCGACCCGCGGAAGGAGGGCGGGGAGTCGTTGCGGTCCAGCACCGAGACGGTCACCTGCAAGCAGACGGAAGGAAACACACTGTTAGAGAAATAAAAGATAATATAAAGAGCGTTCGCTGTTTGTTATTTCAAAGTCCGGCCCCGGCCACTCCAGCGCCGCCACGCCGCGCCACGCCTCCAGCTGCGTGAAGAGCCCTCATCGGGGCCACACAGGGGCCCGGGCCCCGGGCCCACGTCCACGTCGTGGAGCCCAAATGTGCCGCCTCACGTCCATCCAGAGGGGATCCCACGCGTCGCGCCGGGCGTGACCGACCGGGGGTAGCGACTCGGGGAGGGGGAGTGGGAGGATGTGGTGGATCTGTCCTGTTTCTGATTCGATGCAGACTGTCCGTTGGCCGTCGGCTCAGGAGTGTCCTGAAATCTGACATCCTTTACACACACCCTCCCTGCTCCATCTGACGCGCATACCAAGTCGTTGTTGATTTCTGTTTGACATAGCTTTTATTACTGCTGCGTTATGAGGCGAATTGGAAAGCACGATACGTCCGAATTGGCATGAGGGTCGGGGGAAGGGGGAGGAGGACGGGAGGAAGAATGCGGAGCCAGAGGAGGGGAGGGGGGGAGGAGAGGAGGGGAGGAAGGGAGGGGGGCTACTATAACCTCTCGGCAGGCGCTCAGAATGACAGGCCTTGGGGCGCGAATGCTCATTACAAGAATTAAAAATAATGAACAAGTCGTAACTTTACGCGCGGGGGGACGCAGCAGAGCGGGGCCCGCGACTTGGAGCAGTACTCCTGACGTTCGGGTAGTATACGAAAAGTGACATTCAAAAGACCTCCCTTCGGTATTCCTCGCGCGGTGTGTGATTCTATAAACAGGAATCTAGACGCGACCTGACGTCTAGCGTGTCGGTCGGTGTGTTGTGCGCTGCAGCCCCCCCCCCTCCCCCAAATCCCGGCGGCGCGGCCTCCCCCCAGCCGGCTGCTGCCTCCTTTGCGGGAAGATGCGCGTAAAGTAATTTCGGCACAGGCTGACGCCGGCTGAGGCCGGCTGACGCACTCTGATTGGCTGAGTGGCAGCTAAATTATTGTGTGATATGCACCACGCACCGCTCCACTACATCCGTGGATCCCGAGCCGAGCCGAGCCGGGTCGGGACGGACAGTGGTCGGGCGCGCCCCGCCGGCCCCGCCTCACGGACAACGCCTTCTCGTCAGACGGTCTGACAGTTTTTCAAAAAGCTTTGAATCTTAATGAGCGCCGGCCGGGGCTGTACACACACACACAGAGGGGCCGAGAGGGAATAAAGAGAGAGAGAGGGAGAGAGAAGAGGGGGGGGGGGAATACAAGAGGAGGAGGAGGAGAAACGAGAGAGAGAGATACTCGGATCCGTGGTGCACACGGCGGGGAACACTCGCGTTGCTCACAGACGCGAATCAAATCGGAAATGAAAAATAAAATAAACGTCGTGTCGTCACTAGTCCCCCACGTAATTGGCGGAGCCCGGTCCGGTCGGGTCCCGCGGGGCAAACTGACGAGCAGCTCAATCAGGTTGCAGAGGCTTGCTCGAGGCTCGCTGCTGCAGCCCCCGGTGCGCCCGGTGCGCGGTGGTGTGCCCGCTCCGGCCCGGGTCCTTCTTGGCTCGCCCGGCCGTTCCCGGTAGCGCACTCCCGCCGCGCGTCATGGCGCCGCCGTGCCGCCGGGAGAGACGGGAGAGCAAGTGCGTCCGCTTCCAGGAGCAGAGGACATTCCGCGCCCGGCCCATGGCCAGGCCCCGCCGCACGGCGCCACTCGCCAGCAGCAGGGCCAGCAGCAGGGGCCCACGGCGATTCGTCCCGCAATGTCGCCGGCTGCCGGCTCCAGCACGATATCGCTGTCCTCTCACTCGCGGGTGGCCCCACTATCTCCTGCCAGAGAGACAGTCCATTCTCCACGGAGACCATCCTCAGAGACTCTCCACAGAGACTACAGAGACTCTCCACAGAGACTACAGAGACTCTCCAAGGAGACTACAGAGACTCTCCAAGGAGACTACAGAGACTCTCCGCAAAGACTCTTCCACAGAGACTACATAGACTCTCCGCAGAGACAACAGAGACTCTCCGCAAAGACTACAGAGACTTTCCGCAAAGACTCTCCGCAGAGACTCTCCACAGAGACTACAGAGACTCTCCACAAAGACTCTCCGCAGAGACTCTCCGCAAAGACTCTCCACAGAGACTCTTCCGACTCTCCTTATCATAGCTCGGCGCGGATCGGCGGGAGACCTCAACGCCGGTGCCCTCCTAGAGAGCGGAACGCCTGCGAAGTCTAGGTAGGCCACCCGCACAGGCGGGCTGTGCGCCGGCTGCCTACCCGCACGGCTGACTACTGCGGTTGGAGCG